CCCCATTTAGGAGGCCTAGAGTGTCGCACTTGCGTTGCCACGTTTTTGCCTGGCGAAGCGCCCGTTCCCGCCTCGTGCCCGCCCGTGAGCTGGCTGCCCGCTGTGGACATAGAATATTGAAGGGGCCCTGGGACACACAAATCAATACGCACAAATAACAGGATCCCCATATGTTCCAATATTCTCTGGGTTTTTGTCTTCCCCCCCCCCTCCCATATTTTCCAATATTTTCCTGGGAGTGGACGATGAATTGTGTCTGTGTGTGTGTGTTTCCCTCCCGAATACAGCCAGTGGGCGCTCGTGCGGGCCTCGTGCCCGCCCCGCGCAGCGGCTGGCAGCTCCGGGCATCCAGCCGCTGGGCGACGGTGTCCGCCCCTTGCCCGCCTTGTGCGCTGGCTCGCGTGTCGAGACGCATACATGTCTTGCACGACGTAGGTTGCACCACCTAGCCTGTGCAACATCGAGTGCACCGCACAGCTTGCACCGTGCGTCTTGCACCCTAGAAGCTGCAACTGCAGCGCGTGAGCTGCACCTCTTACAGTAGCTGGCACCAAGTAGCTTGCATCAGCTGCACCTCTTAGCTTGCGTCAAGTCGCTTGCGCAGCATGGCTTGCAGCACATAGGTTACACCTCGTAGGTTGCACAGCCTCGATTGCACCGTATCATTTGTATTAATCAGACTGCCTCGCATGTTTCGCACCCACATGGTTGCACAATTTACGCATGTACATATATCTACACATATGTAGGTCCCACCGAATGCACCAAAGATGCTACATCCGAAAAAGTGCACCACATGTACAGCGCCCATCGATAGTGCAAGACACGCTGGCAAACGCTTTCCAAAGAAGGGCCATGCATCCCCAAATGCAAAAAGGATTATACATCTCATCATCCCCGCAAACGGTCGATTTGGCAAAAGACTTCCGAAACGCGACTTCCGGATCAACACAAGGAGCACATGATTGTTTACCACATCATACACAACAGGCGCAATGCGTACGCCACATAGCAAGGTAACTAAACTTGATTTTGCGATACGCTAAGTCGTGTCAGTACTCGAGCGAGCACATGCGCCTGAATACACCACGTGACACTTTGGTGCAGTGTGTGTTACAGCGCGAGGCCCGACGCAAACCCTCTGCGAAGGCACGCCTTTCCTGCAGATGGCGAGCCGGTAATTCTTGCGGAAGACAAATGCCACAGGAGAAGGCAATAGAAACCAGCCATGCAGCTCAAGCGGCAGCACACATGCATGGCGGTGCGCATGGGGACACTATGTCCCCATAGCCTTCTGCTGGTACTGCACTTTGTCGACTGTCTGCTGGGCGATTCCGCCCGTGGTCCCAGAAGCAGACTTAGGATCGAACGTCGGGAGCCATTTCAGCCTGAACCACTCGATGGTGTCTGGCCAAGCCTCCTTGAAGGACACCACGGGCGAATAACCCAGGTCTCTCTGGGCTGCGACGACGCTGAACCACCGGTGCATGGTGAGCATCCTGAGCGTGAACCAGCCTAGCTTGAGCTTCTTGCCAGTTAGATCCCCGATACGGTCACAGATGAAAGCGACTATCCTGAGAAGCCAGAAAGGCAGGGCGAACTTCGCGCAGACAGAGTCGAAGCCCATGCCGACAACAGCCTTGTCCAACTCCTCCCAGAAGACGCAGAACCCCCTTGGGTCGGGGTGCGTGTGCCCGTCAGTGCACACGTAGAACTTGCCCAGGTGGGGCGAGCCGTCATACAGCTGCTTCTCCGCGATAACCAGCCCGTGGCAGTAGTTGTCGACGTGCGTGTAGCCGCAGCGGCTGTCCCCCTTCCCGAACACGCGCAGCTTGCCGACGCCCGCGGCCTCGAGCATGTTTGGCAAGAACAGGTTGTCCCTGGGTCCATAGACCGTGTGGGGAGCGACAGCAACGAAGAGCAGTTCGCCCTTGGCGCAGGCCTCCCGCAGGAGCAGCTCCGCCTGCGCCTTGGTGGCGGAATACTCCGCAACGTACTCCCGCTGGGGTATCTCTGGCATCTCGGCCTCCGTGAGCCCTTCAACGTCGTCCGTGCAGGTGAAGCGCGTCGAGGGCGTTGCGGAGAACACGACCTTTCGCACACCAGTCCTCTTGCACGCTTCGATGACGTTCTGCGTGCCGACGACGTTGATCTCGTGGTAGAACGGCTTCGGGAGGAAGGGCCCAACAGCCGCAGCGTTGTGCCAGACGCAGTCCGCGCCCTTGAACGCCTCCACGACTGCGTCTAAATCCCGCAGGTCTGCGGTGACGTACTCTATCGCTGGATGCTTCCAGACGTTGGCCGCCGCCGGCACGATGTCGAAGGAGACGACCTTCTCCGCACCCCGCTCCACGAGGGTCTCGACCAGCCGCTGCCCGACGAAGCCCAGGCCGCCGGTGACGACACATCGCTTGGGCACCGAGCCGAACTTCCCGCTCTGGCTGCCCTCCCGGACCTTCTCCTGGACGGGGGACAGCTCGTACGCGGTGTAGAGTTCCACCCTCGGCGGCATCGCGCAAGGGGGGCGCGCTGGGAGACGAAAAGGGCAGGCGGTGGGCTTGACAGCTCGAGCCAAAACTGTGTGGAGGTGAGTCCCAGCGTGGCGTGCTCTTGGGGGGCATCCCGCCTACATCGGCGGCGCACTGGAGATGTCTTCGGGCCCCTGCGAAGACTACAGCACAACTGCGCTCGAGGCCTCAATTGAGACATCCTTCCCCTGGGCAGTGACATGAACAGCCAACTCTCGAAAAGGGATCGGCATGCTGTGCCCAGCTCTTCGCATGGCACGTGTTGTGACCTTGCGATTTGTCGATATGGAAGCTCCTCACTTACCGAGCAAGCGAAGCCAATTCGTTGAGCCCAGAATTCCGACGTCATGCTTTGCTTTACACCGTGGACCCCCAGACGTCTGGACAGCTTCCCCAGGACTTACTCTTCGTCCCGATTTGTATGTTCATGCCCCTGGGACCCGTCGAGGGCCCGCAGAGGCCGACGAGTACCAAACAACGCTCGTCGTGGTCTTCTCACCACGACAGAGAATGGACATTCTCCCGACTGGCCCGCGGGGATGGACGCGAAAACAGCCGCGCTTCGCACTTCGCTGCCCAAGCTAGAAAACTTCGCGAACGAAAACACGACCCGCGGATTTTGGATGCTTTCGGCCTCTGGGGGCCTTGCCAAGCCCCAGGAACGTCAAGAAACGACCCGGGATGACAAGCCGGTCCTGGGAAAGGGGCCGAGACCTCCTGGGAGCTCACGCTGTGAAAAGGCACGGCGTCGGAATTCCCAGGGTGGTGCCCAGTCTTGGAACCAGGCCGTGCCCCGATCGCGTCTGCGACAGCCTGGGCGGGAGTGAGGGAACTCCTCACCCTCCTCCTCCTCCTCCTCCTCCTCCTCCTCCTCCTCCTCCTCCTCCTCCTCCTGTTCCTCCCTGCACTCTTCTGGCCACAAATCCGCATCGTTCAAAGCAGTCCCAGGGAACTGCTCTGAGCGTTGCCAATTCTTCCAAGCAGTCCCCCACGACTGCTCTGACTCGTCCTCGTTAGAAGGGCTTCTGGATGAAGGGCCGCTTGCGGTGTCGCGACCGCGGCCCCAGAGCCACACTGCGCCCCGCGAGCGGATAGCGGGAGGAGGGGGAGGAGGAGGAGGAGGAGGAGGAGGAGGAGGAGGTTTTTTTTGCAATGCGCGGCAGCCTGGCGCACACCCTATTCGCGAGAGCAAAAAGGCCGGGCGACAGGCTGGCAAACAAAACCTGCGGGCTAAACACCCGCCGAGGGCAGTGACGCGAAGGAGGCCAAGACAGCCCGCTGCACTTAAGGGGCCCTTAAGTGCAGCGGATCAGCTCCTACCGTGCGCGGGGCTGGGGAGCAACGGTGCGAGGGTCACTAACGGCGCAACGCCGGGCAGTCCCCACTCGCACCGCGCCCCCCGCCAGCACTCCGCCCACTAGACGCCCACTAAACACCCGCCGAGGGCCACTCGCGGACCCCAGGCCTGGGAGGGAGGCCCTTGCGCAGCCGCAACAGGGCTGTCAGCTGCGCCTTAGTCAGCGCAAGGGGGCCGAACCTCGCCGCCTCGCACTCCTCCAGAAGACGCGAGGGCCTGGAGTCCGCGTAGCGCCCGCAGATGCTGCAGAACGTGATGGCACCCTTGCGCCACAAAAAATGAGAGACATGCGGCACATGTCCAGCGATGCCAGTGCCAGGAGGCAGACGCGATGGGGGATCAGGCATCCCCAGAGAACGAAAGAGTTGCTCGTCGATGGGCGGCAGCCCCTCGTACGAGCGCGGCAGCCTGACGCAGACCCGAGGCGCGGACGCAGCGTCCTCCGCCTCTGGCTCTGCCGCAGGCTCGAGAGGCACCACACCGTCCCCCCCCCCGTCCTCGCCCGCCCCGTCCCCCTCCCACGGCTGGCCTCGCTGCTGCCGCTCCTCGCGGCAGGGAGGCGTGCTAGGCGACGGCCGCAGGGCCGAGCACGAGGAACGTAGCAGATGGAGGGCACGGCTCTGGGTGCGCCTGACCGAACGGCCGCAGCTCTTGCAGCACCAGCCGAAAGCGGTCGGCGCGAAGACGTGCTGGGAACGAGCCGCGAAGCCTGAGAGCAGCTCCTCCCTCCTCTGAGCCCTAGAAACCTTCGGTTTGGTAACCTCACGGCCAGGGCTCTTGGGGGCGGAGGCGGCGGCAGCACAGAGAGTAGCATTGCGGAGCAGGATGGCCTCGGCCTGCTCCACCAAGTCCAAGGCGCGGCGTGCTACATCTGGATCAAGCTGAGCCTCCTCAGACCGCTCCTCGGCGAGCCCGTCGGCCACCGCATTGAGAAAAATAGCCTCGGGCAGCACAGTGTGGCCGAGACGCGCAAACTTCGCGGGGTCCTCAGCTAGATGCGAGGGCACGTGCAGGAGCGAGAAGCGGCCCACGCGGGCGTCAAGCAGCGAAAAAAGATCGTGCCAGAGGTCCGCGTGCTCGAGCTTGTAGCAGTGGCGGCGTCCGCGTGCTATCGCATTCACATGATTCACGTGGTCGGAATACAGCTTGAAATCGGCAGCAGGGTGGACGGCCCTGACGCACTCCACAATGGCCAGGAGCTCAGCACGAGGCACCGTTTGCACAGGGCCGTCCACCAAGCCCGTGCAGCCAGAATCCCAGTCCAAATCCTGGCCGTCGCCAAGGCGGGCAAAGCTCCACGCCACACGTCGTAGCAAGGGCTGAGACGACCAGGCTCCACCTGCACCGTCGGTAGCGTAGGTCCCCCCTGGCAGCGCCCCGACGCCGCAGCGCAGCCACCGATGGCCACGCTCGTCGGGGGGAGGCGGGATGTTCAGCCAGGCAAGGGGCACAAGCCCGCGGCACCAGAAGACAGGGGCGCGGTCGATCTCCTCCAACGCCTGACTGCGGAGATGGTTGGAGGAGACCACGGCCTCTGGAGGGGGAGGCACACCTACCGAGAGCGCCCAGTCCCTCTCCATGAAATTGCACATGCATTCCCAGAAACGATGACGGCTGGATTCACGGGAGCGATGGCAGCGCTGGCACAGGTCGTCCGTGCGGTAACCTGCCTGGTGACGACGCTCCTCCGTCCAGTATCCTCCGCAGGCGACTAGGCGAACAAGGCTGGCAAGACTGTGCTGGGACTCCTTCTCCAGCCGTTCCGCCAGTGCAGGCACATGCTGCCACCAAACACCCCCCTCCGCCCCACCCCCGTCAAGATGCTTGGCCGCCTGTCGCCAAGCAGCGTTCTCAGCGGTCTGCTCCAGAGCCGCGAGGAGGCTGGTGACGGGGGCGGCGGAGGTGGCAAAGAGCTCCCACTCCTGCCCGTCTGGCTCGACCAACTTGGACAGAGACGGGCACTGCCAACCAGCTGCAATGACTGAGGCCTGAAAGGCTGAGAGCGGGCCGCGCACGAAGTTCCAGCCGCGCGCCACCCGCTTCAGGGACGCGTCCCATCCTCGCTGGACCTTCGCAGCGAGGCCGTCCTCTCCAAGGACTCGAGAATAAAAAGCTCCTGCGATGTGCCGCAGGTACCAGATGGGCGGGTCGCGCCGCGCCCCAAAACTGATGCGAATGGCCACAGTAGCGCAAGTGCCGCGCTGAGGGCACTTGCTGGCGAGCCTCGCCTGACCACGCAGCTGCTTCAGCATGGTCGGCGCCAGCCCGTGCACCTCGGGCGCCCACACCGACTTCGGTAGGGCATTAGAGACGAAGAGGCGTGAGGCTCGCGGCGCTGACCTGACCAGACCCGAGATCTTGAGGGCGGCGCGCCTGCCCTTCATGAAACGCTTCTTGCGCACCTTCACAGACCGCGAGGCACCGAAAGATGTGTCGTGGCCGAGGTCGCGGGCAACACGAACAGTCCTGAGGCCACCAGCCCCGACCTCGGCCGCTGACGCCCACGCGGGCAGCAAGGCACGGATGGCAGCAGAAGAGGCCATGAGGCCACACTTCCCTAGGGAAAACTCGCATCGCAACCTGCGCAGGCCCGTAAAGAGGGCGCGCAGCACCACAGGAAAAGCCAAGCTGAGCGAGTGCTCAGTGCCGAAAAGGCGGAAGGCGAGGTCGTCGATCCATTCCCTCAGGCGCAACCCTGGCACCAAAGAGTGAGCCGCCTTCAGCGGGGCGTGCAGGTAGGCACGCGCCTGCGAGACAGCCTGGCCACAGCCAGCGAGGATGCCTCCGCCAGGCAAGATACCTGTGTGCACCTGGCGCTGGAGGGTGAGGAGGCGAGGACCGAGGTAGACGTCGAGGGCGAGAGCGAGGAGGCGGAGAGGGTAGCCTAGATCCTGGGCCGCCGCCGCCAAGTCAGGCAGTGACACCAGGTCGTAAAACTTCCGAAGGTCGAGCAGTCCACCTGCAACCTCGAAGCCTCCCAGGAGCGCAAGCTCCCCCTCCAGCTCGTCCAACCACCCTGCAAGGTCGGCCGAGCCGCCCACTGTCTTGTCCCAGGCCCCGTGCTGGTCACGGTCCCAGGCGCCAATCACTGGCTTCCTGATGCGGCAAAGCAGCACGTAACTGAAATTGAGCAGGGCGATGGGCCTCAGGCCTCCATCCTCCTTATCCAGCAAAGCGATGAGGTTGAACAACTCTTGAAAAGGCACTGTGGCCTCGCGCTCGATGGCCGTCAGAAGGGCCGCGAGCGCAGCGATGGCAGTAGGCGGCGCATCCTTGACCAGGCGAGGCGGCATCATGTCAATCCCCCTCCCCCGACGATCAGGAACGGTCTTTAACGCCCCCCTCACCTGGTCAGGAGTGACAGGCTCGTAGCAGGCTGACGAAAGAGCCGCACGGCGAATCCTCGCGAGGGCCTCCAAGGCCTCGGGCCGCGAGTGCTTGCACCAGATTGCGTGCCACGCGGCGCCTTCCGCCTCCAGCACTGCAGCGGGCGTGGAGGCTGGCTCTCCGTCCCAGACAGGCTCAGCACGGCAAAAAGCGGGAGGATCGCGGAGGAGCCTATGGGCTTTGCTGGCAGAACCCGCCAAAGCGTCGGACAACCAAGAACGCCAGCGC